AGCATGGCATCACTGTGTACCCAGCGCACAGGGCATTCACACGCTGATATCCCGTCCCTCAGGGCGAGCAGCTCAAGACCAGTCCGAAACTCCTTGCCACCCATGAGCTTTTCTGGACAGCGCAAACGATCATACAAGTTCTTAGAGTCGGTGATCAGGCATCCTGGGATTTTCCGAACCTGGTCCCATGGATCTCTGAGATTGGGTTTCCATCCCGAGAGTTCTGCCAGAAGGAACCTCACATACGTGACCTCATCCTCGGTGTTGACTGTGGCTGAAACCTCTGCTGCTGGCGGTGACCGACACGTGCGCTCGACTTTACCAGACCTCCAACTGATCAGGGAAACTCCTGTCTCCTCGCCGGAAAGGAAGCACAGCGGCGCGATCCCGACGACGCGGCCCTCAGTCGACTTGCCGTCCACACGGTTGCCAAACGCCGCGTCGCCCCAGCCGACAACTGCCAGCTCGTTGTCCACAAACGGAAAGATTTTCAGCACCCTTTCCTTAGTCTCCTTGGTCCGCTTGATCAGCTTATTGACCTTCAGAGGGTCGTCCACGGTGCATGACTCCGTCTTGCTCTGCAGCATGCTCAACTCCGCCAGGATGTCAGGCCCGGTATGGGTGCCCTTCCACTGCAGGCTCCCCGTGGCAGCACGGAGCTGGCTCTTCTCGGCGCTCGTCACGGGCGCTGAGGGTTGCTTCCTTCGTTCAGGTGGGACCTCGATCTCCTCGATCTGCTCCGTGTAGGTTGCCTGGCTCAGCGTGAAACCGAGATCAGGCCTCTGAGTGATGTCGACGCCGCACTGAGTGAACGTGTCGTATTCCCATTCGGTCCACCTGAACGCCTTCATCACCTGACGCCTTGCCTGCTGCCAGACCTTGTCCGCTTCGCGGCCAGCGAACAAGAAATCATCCACATGAGATAGAGCAATGGCTACGATGTAGTCCGGGCCTCCCGCTGTCGAGGAACTCGTCAGGACCCATACACATGGATCGGACTCGAGTTGCCGCCAACTCAGCTCCTTCAGCTTGCGATTCACTGCCTGGTGCCATGCAAGCTCTTCACCCTGAAGGAACGCAGACTTCACGTCACCCTTGGCCACCCGCACCTCCAGGCTCGCCGCCTTCTGTAGAAGCACCTGACGGGCGGTGCGAGTCGCTGTCGGCGCGTACGACTCCTCGGTGGCGAGGCCTGGGTCCTGGAAACCCAGCATCACTAGCCGAGCCTTCGCACGTCGACCCCCGGTTTCTGCAGGATCGATCCTCCACGTCAGAACCCATCTGAGGCGCATCGGCCGGTCGCTGGGAGCTGTGACATGGCTCGGTAGACCTTCCAGGACCATCTCCTCGATCCACTCCTGCGCCTCCTGCACCTTGGCCTTCTTGAACTTCTCCAGGTCTGCGGCCGACAATGTCAGCTCTCGAGCCTCCGCACGCTGACGTCGCAGTTGAGTGGCCACAAACGCTGGCAGGTCACGCGCGGCCGAACCGCCTCGCGCACCTTCGGGAAGACTGATCTCCACCTCAATGGCGTTGTCCTCCCTGCTCCAGAAGCACTCGAACGGCTGGACCTCTGCCGTCAGGCCCTGCTCCTCTGTCAGGTCACGTCGCTTCTGTCTGTCCGACCGCTCCTTGCCGTAGTGATCTCCGCCGGACGCCGCAGCTGGTGGAAGACCGTCACAGTCATACGGTGAAGGTCTCGATGGAGTCGTTCGAGATTTATTTGGCGGCCTTGCAGGTGTCGCCGGAAACGTAGCCGTCTCCGGCGCCCGGCCCTGAGAGGCCGGAGCTGATGAGCTCGCTGCCGATGGTCCGACTCGCGGCTGTTTGGACGATGTGTGAGGCTCCGTCGGTACCCACTTCCCGCTGATACGTCTCTTAGGCTCCTCCGCCGCTGGCGAAACCGTCGGAAGTGGTGGTGCATCGCCTGCGTCCACAAACTCCGTGTCGCTCGGGATCAGTCGCGGATCGTCAGCGAGGTCCTCATACTGACCGGCTCTAAGACCCTGACTCATGCTGTTGAACGTCCACGGCATCTCGGTACCATGTATGATCTCGTGCTCGGCCACCTCTCGATCAGAGGCATCCCGTAGCTGACAAGGATCACATCGAATGAGGCGGCCACACGCGTTCAGCCACACGCGAGGTCGAGGTTGAACTTCACCGTTCCTGTGAACCGTCTCCGTAGTCAGAACTCGAGCTGGACCGTAGAACCTGCCCGTCATGGAGCTGCTCTTCGGGTTCCTGAAATAGTACACCAACGTACCCGGAGTGTATACATTCAGCTTCCGCGATCTGGCATGATTGGCCCGGCGGGCACGTTCGGCATAGACCCATCTGAGCATCGCCTCCTGCGCCTGCCGCATGAATTTGAAATTCTCCCCGAACGCGGTGTCGACCGCCTCCGACTCTAGCGCCGGAAGGTTGACTGGATCACCTGGCGCATCCATGAATGACCCGTCGAGGTCTGGTGCTCGGCCAAGGGCCACCTGCAGCGGTGAGAAGCCCCGATGCCTGTCGAGCTCGTTATAGGCTGCCATCGCGCGCGCCAGGTACTCCTCGCATGACCTTCCCGGGCACTCGCGTGCCAAGACCGTCATCAGATCCTTGATGAGGCTGATGAGCCGCTCGATGCCGCCGATCTGCCAGTGCGCCTGGACGGGGATGGGATCCATCTGAATGCCGCTGGACTCCATGTTCTCCCGGATGGTCTTGCTCATCCAGGCGCTCTCGGGATCGACCTGAAATATCCTCGGACGGCCAAAATAGGCGATCCACCGGCTCCAGATCGAGTCCTTCAACTCCTCGGCGGTCGCGTTCTTACTCTTGACCATCTTGAACAGGACATGTCCAACTCCGAGCTTCGAACCCTGGTCAAGGTACAGCGCTAACTTGAACTTCTCGTGGCTGCAAGGGTCCTCCCACTCGGCTAGGTCGCTCTGCAAAACGGCCCACTTCTTCGGCACCTCATCCGCCGAGCCGACGGGACGTGGAGGTCCTTGCTTTGGGCTCTCGTCACAGGCCGGGCATCGCATGCCTTTCACGTGTTCTACGATCCTCTTGTCAGCACCTCGAGCCGCCAACGACCTGGCGACTTGGGCGAACGGACAGTGTCCGCATGCAGCATGGATCCGACGGGCCGCGATCTCCACCTTCCGAAGCTCGTCAGGGTCGACCTCTGTCTTCGAGGCACTCACTGCGTAGACCGTGTCGATCTCTTCGTCTTCGGCCTCGAATTCGCGCACGAGGTTGCAGATCTCCTCCATCCTCGGCTCTTCCAGCATTGCCCGGGCCGCCCTCTTGACGAGCGCGTCGGGGTAGTGCGCTGTGGCCGCCGTCCTGACACCGCCGACACAAGGACTGTGCTCATGACGCCCATCGCACCTGATGGCCATGCGCTGACACATGCGGTCGGAAGTGGTCCAGACCTCCCAGGGTTTGACCATCGGCAACCCCGTGTCACGAGCTTTGACGCCCAGCATGCAGCCATCGCAGACCACCGGACGCATGTCGCACTCCCTGAAGACCTGCTTCAACTCTGGCCACCGGTACGGCTGCAAGTCCTTCGGCCACTCCCAGTGTACATGACCTCGGTCCGCCACCTGGTCCATGACGAGGATCAGGCAGTTCCTGATAAGGCGCTTGGACCTTTTTCGACTCAAAAGAACCTGCGCCCAGACCTCTGGCTTGTTACGATTGAATTTGTTATTGCCGGACCATGGCCCACAAGGTAGGGAGAAACACATATGCTCAGGACGGACTCGCCCTCGCTCAGCTCTGGCCTTTTGCAGGCCTGCAGTGGTGGATAAATCAAAACCGTTCCAGCCACCAATTCGACTCGCACTGTCCGCACCCGACTCTTGCATCACGAATTGGGATAGGCCCGACGCTGGTGAGCAACAGACCTCCATCAGCTTAACTCTCGCCGCCCCTGTCAGGAACGTCCATGCTGGCGTTGCACTCTTGTCCAGACACCCCGCCAGCCAGGTAGCCCGAGAGTCCGTGAGATCCCTCAGTGGCCCTGCGCGGCCGGCCCAGGCGGGCCGCTCGACACTGAGCTCGTCTCCTCCACCTTCTGCACCCTGGTCGTGAGCGCGTTCATGGCCATCTTCATGTCCCCAAGCAGGTCGATGATCTGCTCCTCCTTGGACGTCCCCGTCTCCGTCGCGGCGGCCGCCTCGGTCATGGAGCGCTTTGCCGCCGGACGCTGACGAGTCAGATCCATGACCAGCAGCCACGGGCCCTCCGTCTTCTCGAGCTTCTCCCCTTTCACCCTGGGCTGAGGCAGTTCGAACTTGTTCTTCATGTCCTCGGACTTGATCCCCTTCATGACCAGCCAGTCGGTGAGACGCTTGAGGCGTGGATTGCTCTCACCAGCCGACCGGCATACTCCCGTTCCTTCTCCAGCAGCTCCTGGATAGTCAACGTCCGGTGACGACCGAACGGCATCCTGTCGGAGCCCTTGACCATCCCCAGGGACTGCTCGTGCTTCTCGGTGATCAGGATCTGGAGGTCGCCGCGCGTCTCCTTGCCCGTCAGGACACAGCCCATGGTAGTCGCATCCTCGACAAGCTCGGCCTTCTTCTTGTGGCGCACGGGTGCACCACCGACTGGCATTGCCTTGTAGATCTGGCGCAGCCTGGCCCTCAGCATGTCGCACGTCATGTGGGTGCCGTCCTCGTCCCATAGCGCCAGCTCGGTAAGGAGCTCCGCCTTGCGCATGCGGGACGTGGCAGGGTGCTGGTACATCTGATCGTACGTCCGGAGGCTGCGGGATGCTCGAGAAAGCCGACGCTTGAGCCGACGCACTCTGGGACTGTAGTGTTGTTGACCATGTTGGATTTAGTCTGGCGTCGGCCTTCCGTAGGGCCGATTCTTCTGCTTCGGGACCCCGAGGAGGCCCTCTGGATACTAGATCTCCCACGACATCTTGATTAGGTTCCCCGAGACGTCTGGATTCCTTAGGATCCGTAGACCTACTCTGTGGACCTGTGGTGACTCTAGGAGATCCCGTAGAGGTACACAGTGGACCCGTAGACCTGCTCTGTGTCCCCGTAGATCCTATTGGAGATCCCGTAGAGGTCCTCTGTGAGCCAGTAGATGTATTTGAGAACCTCGTAGTCTTACTCGGAGCTCCCGTCGATGCCCTGCAAGGCCCAGAGGATGTACATGGTATCCCCGTAGGGCCTGGGAGTGCCTCTGAACCTGCGCTGCTGTCGGTGATCGATGCCGCCAACGCCAGAGGTGATGACGATGAGGAGGGAGGGATGTATGACGCACCAGACTCATGCGACTCCTCGTCTGCTGGGACCCCAGCGGGCTTGTCTGCAAGTGCTGCCACTCCCCGACTCAGAATGCAATCTGCCAGCCTTTCGACACTCGCCGTACCGCCCAGCAAGTCGCACGTCAGGTCGATCAGTAGGTGACCAGTACGGGACCTGGGGAACGAGATCATCCTGAACGGGTCTATCTTCTTGAAGATACCACAGGCTGCATCGAAATCCACGATGGCCCCCAGGCTGTTCAGCGTCTCGATCGACACCAGGATAGGGATACCTTTGGCGTCGATCGCGTGAACGAAAAACGATACGTATTCTCCTTGCACCAAAAGGGTAAACTTGACCCGGCACAGGACACGCTTCACCTCGCCGTTGCCGAACTTGTAGACGGGCCGGTCCTGCAGGTCGACTTCCATCGGCGGATGCCCCCTGGAGATCAGGATCTCGTTGAGGGTCTCCACCGCCTCGATACCTCCAATGGTCTTCGTCGCCCCGCAGTCCATGATACCGTGCCCGTTCTCAGTGGCCCTCTCGACGATGTATGCCATCCTGACCTCTGGGTCGTCGAAGTCCACCACGCTGCCGAGCTCCTCTACCTGCAGCTCGGTCTCGTCATCTGAGCGGGCGTCGTACTCCGCCATCAAAATGAAACCGTGGAGCTTGGCGCCGCCGTCGCCGCCACCCCGGCCAGGTGCCGGGCGGTTCTGGCTCAACTTGGGGTCCGCCTTGTCCGGACAGCTCCCCGTGCGATGGCCACCTCCGCACTTGAGGCACGGACCCTGACGCCCGTCACTTCGCTGGCCCCCCCCCGGAGCCGAAGAACTTCCTGCCCGTGCGGTGCTTGTTGATCTGTTGCCGTGCGTCCTGCAGCCTTCTCTGGCTCGCCTGGAACTGGGCGTAGGCTTCCTCTTCCTCCGTGACCGCTGTCGCGTAAGCCTCGTCGTCGACGCCTTCTTCCTCGCCTTCCGTTGTCGACGTCACTGCCATCGCATTGTCTCTCTCGTCGCCGTCGCCCCAGGTCTGCACGTCATCCCCGTAGAACGCCGCCGCGATCACTTGCTGCCGGATGAACTTCGACTTCCTGTAGTCCTTGTCCTTCAGGTTCTCGTCACTAGGCCACTGAGTCCTGAGAGCGCTCTCGACATTGTCGACTGTGAAATCGCCGCGGCACGATCCGATCACTGCTGCTATCTCGCCGCCGTCCAGGCCTGCGCGATGTAGTAGATACCATCCTCTGATCACACTCGGCAGCACCTCTGGCAAGTCCTGGGTGGGGAAAGAGCATTGACTGCTGCCTCTGGCCCCGCCATGGGCCCATGGATATCTATCCCAGCTCTGCCATCCAGTGTTGCGCCACCCGTCCTGCCGTCCGCGGTCGCCGTGCCACACCTGTCCGTACCGCTGAGCTTCGGGAACTTGCCAGTCTCGCACTTCAGGTGCTTCCTCATCGCCCTCGGGAGTGCCCTCTTCACTCTCGACGCGGTGCCACGAAGCATCACCTGGACTGTGTTGGCCGCCCGTCGGCCATTGACTGAATGAAGCTGCTTGGGTATTAGGCGTGTCCGGAATGAACTGGTCCTTGCCGTTCTTCCTGACCATTCTAGCGAGAGCCACTCGAAGACGCTGGTAGCTCTCGTGTACACGAAGGCAATACTCAGCCATGCCCTCACCGCGCCGGCGGCGGAGCTTCACGAAGTACTCCTTCATGCAGTGCCCGACGTCCTCGACCGGCTGTCGCATCACATAATGTGATTCTTCTGTAGGTACTCCAGCAGGTAGTCAGCACCCCAAGAGTTGGACAGCAACCCGCGAGGCCGACCGATGCAAGCTGTTGCCGCTGCACCTGTCAGTCGAGCGACCAACCTGGGGCCGCACAGATACCTGTCTTCCCACTTCGTGCCGTCCACGTAGTTCATCACATCCTGCTGGTACTTCTCCCACGTGCCGGCGCTGCCGTTCCACGTCGGCACCGTCGGGGTCTTCATGACCTTGGTCATGTCTCCGTGGAGCAGAAACCTGCTCCGCTACCATGTGAAGCGAAGCTTCACAGGGTACACTCCTTTTCCACACGGCCAGCACTCGTCCTCGTTGCTGGTCTCCACCAGGCGCTCCTCTGGCGCCTTCTCGCACACGCACACACTGCTGAGCTGGGAGAGGTAGGGTGTTGGGTATGGAGTGTTCGTATTGGGCTCGATATAGGTAGAAATAGGAAAGGCGAGGGAGGTACTCTTACCTCCGGGGCACCCGTGGCCCCGATGAAGGCCTGTAGCACAAATGGCTATGGACAGAGCGAATGACTGCACACTGAGATGAACCGAGAGAAATCGACAGAGGGGGAGGGGGAGAGGGGGGGGGGAGGGGGAGGGGGAGGGGGAGGGAGAGGGGGAGGGGGAGGGGCGGGGGGGGGGGGGGAGAGGGGGAGGGGGAGGGGGGGGAGGAGGGGAGGAGGGAGGAGGGGAGGAGGAGGAGGAGGAGGAGGAGGAGAGGAGGAGGAGGAGGAGGAGGAGGAGGAGGGGAGGAGGAGGAGGAGGAGGAGGAGGAGGAGGAGGGGAGGAGGAGGGAGGAGGGGAGGGAGGGGGGAGGGGGGGAGGGGGAGGGGGAGGGGAGGGGGAGGAGGGGGGGGGAGGGGGAGGGGGGGAGGAGGGGGGAGGAGGGGAGGGGGGAGGATGCGAAGAATGAAGATGATGAAGAGGAGGATGAGGAGGACATAGGGCGCTCCAGAGCACGAGGAGCGCTAGACCAACCCTTCTGCTTTCCCTTCTCTGCCCACCCCTGCATTGGCCTTCCCATCCATCGCCGCCTCCTCGTGCCCCTCCCCTTCTCCCCCCTCGCCCTCTCTCTCCCTCTCAGTTCCTCCCGCTTCCCTCCCTCCTTTTTCCTCCCCTCTCCCTCCTGCTTCCTTCCTTCTCCCTCCTCTTCTCCTCTCCTCCTGCTTCATCTCCCCGGCGCCCCGGCCGGCAGAAGCTGAGGGAAGACGAGGACCTTGTGAAGCTCGGCTTTGGCACCCGAGACGGCTTCAGGATGCGGGCCGTGCGGATCAGGCGGCCACGGGTGGTGGAGTTGTCCAGGACCCGTTGCGTTTCATGTGTTTGTTGCCCCCCTCTCTCTCTGTTGATTCTCTCTTCTTTTTTTGTTTTTCTCTCTCTGTCTCGCTCTCTCTCTCTCTATATATATATCTCTCTCTCTTTCTCTCTGTCTCTCTCTCTATCTCTCTTTTTCCTCTCTCTCTCTCTCTCTCGCTCTGTCTCTCTGCTTCTCTGCTGCGCTCGGCCCCAAAGCGAGCTTGGGCGGGCACTGCCGCCCTGGACATCGTCCGCATCGCTGGGCATCGCTGGGTCTCTCTCTCTCTATCCCTCTTGGCTTCTCTCTCTCTCTTTCTCTCTCTCTCTCTTTCTCTCTCTCTCTCTGTCTCCCTATCTCTCTCTCTCTCTCTGAAGTATCGGCTCGAGGGCCCCTGATCCAGAGCGTGGCCAGGGTGCGAAACTTCCCACGCCCTCCAGCCCGGTGAGACCGTAACCGTGCCACCTCGTACTGAACCGATTCGTGTCACTTCCACCTTCTACATACGCGCGCGCAACGGTTCCGGAGCCGCTGTGCGCGTTGGGTACGAGCGCAGCCCAAGTCACCAGGCACGGGCCGCAAACAGGCTGTACAGGACAGTAACTTGGCCCGCAAGGAGACTTGCGTCGCCACATGTCACAGCAGTGGTGGCGCCGATCAAGCAGTGACCGCTTACAACGAATTACGTAGCCCACATGCACCTATCAGATCTCGAAGCTGTCTACCAGTAGCGTCGCTCAAATCGGCTGAAATTGAGGGGCGAACCGATGAAGCTGTGTGGGAGGCACAGCACCGGCCACATCACGCTGCACACGTGTAACGCCGCGGCCGAGGGCTGGAGAGTTTCTCTCTGTTCAGGGCGGTCGGCGCGAGAGAGCAGCCAACCTATACCCGCGCGAACACGGCGCGGGCGTCCAGGGTGGAACACCGTGCCCGGCGGGGCTTGGCTCAAGCCGCGACGGCTTGAACTTATGTCGGGCGTGTCCCCCTACAGGGGAATTTTCGACGAAAAATAGAAAATATCCCAAACATACCCCAAAAAGGTAGAAAAATATTCAAAAATAGTCCCCCCATACTATTGTTTGAGCATTTCTTGGTTATGTTTGGGGTATTTTTTATTTTTCGTCGAAAATCCCCCTGTAGGGGGGACAGGCCCGACTTAGAGCTTGGTTCAAGCCGCGACGGCTTAAACAAGTTGTATTGTGAAAGGTTGTGCTCGTAAATCCAGTCGGCCTCACGCTGTGTGAGCCAGGCCTTTCGATCTGCAGAGGGCGTTCAGAGCACGTGCGCTCGGGCCCTGCCGACTACCGGATCGTGAAACAAATTTGCGGAGCAAGCGTGCAGCCGTCGGACGTCCGATCTGTCACCTTGGGAGCATGTTTCTGTATTGTTTGGGGCATGCTGGGCATTATGGCCCCTGGCCCCCCCCCCACCCCCCCTATAACGTAACGCCCCAGTCGGCCACGCGCAGAGGGGGGTGGGGGAAGGGGAGAGGGCTTCTTAGAAGCACCCCTTAGAAGGCGCGGGCCTTATCTGTAGATGTAAGGCCAGCGCCTTCCAAGAAGCAGCCTCCTTCCAAGAAGCCCCCCCCCCCCTCCCTCCACCCCCATGTGCGCGCCGCCAAGGGAGGATGCCCTGCTCCCCCGCGAAGACCTCGACGGAGGAATGCGGAGCGCCACCAGCGCTCCCCGCCGCCCGTGCCAGGATGTGGGACCTGTACGCGGAGGCCTACGACGCGTACCGCAGGGGCGACCTCCAGGCCCGCCCCCCGCCCGTGCGGCTCGCCTCGGCCGCCGGCCTCTCGCGCTCTCCCCTGGGGGAACAGATAGTGACATGAACATGAAAACTCGGAGGTCCGCGCGGATTTCTCGGATCGGCGCTGGGCCCCCCTCCCTGGCGCTCGGAGCGCGCCGGGGGCGGCGCCCGAGGCGCCCCCCCCTGCGCCGTCGCCCGTGCGCCTCGCGCGCCTCGGCCGCTCGCCCGCCCGTGCCTCGCCTCGGAGGAGAGAGCACCTGCACGAGCGCGAGCTTGCGGCGCTCCGCGCAGATTGGAGCGTGCTTCGTTGTTGCCTGGGGCATAGTGGGCATTGCAGCCCCCGGCCCCCTCCCCCCACACCCTTATGACGTAACGACGCCCCTCCCCCCCCCTTCAGTGCGCTCTGGGCGCTGCCGCCGTGCGCACGGCGGGGGGGGGCGTTACATTATACCACCCCCCCTGGCCCCTCCCCCGCCCCTCCCTATAATGCCCATTATCGCCGAAAATGAAGAAATGAGCTCCATGAGCGTGAGTTTTCGGCGCTCCGCGCGGATTGCTTTTTCGGATCGGCGCGGCGCTCCCTTTCTTGTGCAGTTGTTCTTTCCCCATCATTCGAATTAGGGGATCGACTACAGGGGATCTTCCTCTCCCCGAAGAAGAACACCTGCACGTGCATGAGTTTCCGACGCTCCGCGCGGATTGCGTTTTCTGATCGGCGCTCCTTTTCTTGTGCAGTTATTATTCCCCCATCCTTCGAGTTAGGGGATCGACTACAGAATTGATTTACCGCAAACTTGATCTGTTTGTCGAATATGCAATCAAGTACGTAGAATCTGCGTAGATATCCTCGAAGAAGAACTCCTGCACGAGCATGCTTTTTCGAAGTTCCGCGCAAATTGTTTTTCGGATCGGCGCTGGGCCCCCCTTCTTATGCAGTTGCTGTTCCTTTCTGCAGAGTTGTTTTAGATCGGCGCGGGGGTTCTCAGAATTCCGAATGATACCGGAGAGAAACCCCAATCATGGGGCTATAGGGCTATACGGCTATAGGGCTATCGGACTATTGGGCTATAGGGCTACAGGGCTACAGGGCTGTAGAGCTGTAGGGCTATAGGGCCATAGGGCTATAGGGCTATAGGGTACTCCTGGGCACGCCCGGGCACGCCCGGGCACCCGGGCACCCAGGCACCCCCGGGCACCGGGGCACCCGGGCGTGCAGCGAAAATCGGCGGCAAACCTAACCTAACCAACCATATGAATCCGCTAGGACCCCTACAGAGGCAAGCTCTGATTGGGGAATTATGGGCCACCTGATTCCAGGTTTCCATAATTCGGACTTTGGGAAACCTGGGATCACCACAAAAACACGCTTTCTTTTGTGGTGGTTCTGGGTTTCCCATAATTCGGAATTGTGGGAACTTTGGAATCGGAAGAATGGGAAATTTGGAATCACCACAGAAACATCCGCTTTTTTTGCAGTGATTCCGGGTTTCCCACAATTCGGGATGATGGGAAACCTGGAATCACCACAGAAACACATCTTTTTTGTGGTGATACCGGGTTTCACATAATTCGGAATGATGGGAAGTTAGGAGTCACCACAAAATCACACCCTTTTTTGTAGTGATTCCGGGTTTCCCATAATTCGGAGCGATGGAAAAATTGGCATCACCACGACAGCATATTCTTTCTTGTTGTGATGCTTGGTTCCCCATAATTCGGAATGATTGGACATTTGGAATCACTAAAAAAACAATGTTTTTTGTTGCGATTCCGGGTTTCCCATGATTCGGAATAATGGGAACATGGGATCACCGCAAAATCATGTTTTTGTGTGGTGATTCTGAGTTTCCCATAATTCTGAAGTATGGGAAGCCTTGAGTCACAACAATTAGCCTGACGAAAGACCCAACCATACGTAGTTGTGAATACCGCAATTGTGGATATATTCCTCGGTGGCGTCCCCGGGCCACGAAACGAGTGAGGGGTGTGCCGAAATGGGGGGGTGGAACCGCATGCGAGCGCAGCCACTGGGGCGTTCGGTGGAGCTCCCTATGGGGCCACGAAACGTGTGAGGGGTGTGCCAGACTGGGGGGTGGAACCGCATGCGAGCGCAGCCACTGGGGCGCTCGGTGGAGCTCCCTATGGAGCCACGAAACGTGTGAGGGGTGTGCCAGAATGGGGGGTGGAACCGCATGCGGGCGCAGCCACTGGGGCCTTCGGTGGAGCTCCCTATGGGGCCACGAAACGTGTGAGGGGTGTGCCAGAATGGGGGGTGGAACCGCATGCGGGCGCAGCCACTGGGGCCTTCGGTGGAGCTCCCTATGGGGCCACGAAACGTGTGAGGGGTGTGCCAGAATGGGGGGTGGAACCGCATGCGGGCGCAGCCACTGGGGCCTTCGGTGGAGCTCCCTATGGGGCCACGAAACGTGTGAGGGGTGTGCCAGAATGGGGGGTGGAACCGCATGCGGGCGCAGCCACTGGGGCCTTCGGTGGAGCTCCCTATGGGGCCACGAAACGTGTGAAGGGTGTGCCAGAATGGGTGTGGGAGAGGGAGGAGGGGGGAGGAAGGGGAGGAGGAGAAGAGGAGGAGAACGCGGGGCGACGTCTCTTCAAAACGAGGACCCAACACCACAGGATGGTTGGGAAAAACACATTCTTTCTTGTTGTGACATCGGGTTTCCCCTAATCCGGAATGATGGGACACTTCGAACCACCACGGAACACACACCTTTTTGTTGTGGTGATTCCGGGCTTCCATAATTCGGAATTGTGGGAAACCTGGAATCACCACAAAAACATGTTTTTGGTGGTGAGTCCGGGTTTCCCATAATTCGAAATTGTTTACGCTTCGCGAATCCCCACCACCCCATTCAGAAGCCTTGCCCATGAGAGCTGACAGGAAATCGGACGAATAGACACATCTAGTGAAACAGAGCGTGCAATAAGAGGAGTGGAAGAAGAGTGTTGAGCCATCTTGGAGGATATCTTGAAGCATCGGTGGCTTTCTTGGAGGTACAGGGCTGTATTGGGGGATCTTGGGGTCCTCTTGGAACTTTTTGGGAGCATCTTGGAGCTCTTTGGGGGGTCTTGGGGTCATCTTGGGGCTCTTTTGGGGCGCCTTAGGGCCCTCCTGGGGCCCTCTTGGGGCTCTCTTGGGGCTCTCTTGGGCCCCTCCTGGAGCCATCTTGGAAACCATCGATCAAAAGAGTGGGGGTCCTGATTTCCCTCCCCCCTCCAGGTCCATCGAAATAGCCTCTTAGGGGCCCTCTTGGGGTGATCCTGGGCGCTCTTAGGGCAGTCTTGGGGGCCTCTTGGGCCCTTCTTGGAGCTCTCTTGGGCCATCTTAGGGCCATCTTGAGGCCTCGACAGCGCATCGGAAGCGAAAAGGCGAGAAGGCAAACATCAGTGATAACCCTCAGGTGTTTGAAGATTTTGGCTTCTCGGGGAGGTCCTGAGGGGGCGCCACAAGCATCTGGAACCGTCTTGTGGCTCTCTTGGGGCCTCTTGGAGGCATGTTGTTAGCTATCGTGAGCTATGTTGGGCTATCTTGAGCGATCTTGGAGGCCATCTATCTTGGCTCTCTGAGGCCATCTCTTGGGGCCGTCTCAGGCTATCTTGGGCGCCCTGACCGCTCGCGAACCCCCCCGTCCAGGTCCAGGAGAGGGGGAAGGGGGAGGGGTAAACCCCTCCCCGAAGGAAGACGGTTTTTTTCGAAGAGGAAAAAGACATCGTTGCACCTGCGCCCAGAGGGCTGGTGGGATTATGGGAAACCTGGAATAACAACAAACACGCATCCTTTTTTTGTAGTGATTTTGGGTTTCCCATCATTCCGAATTATGGGAAACCCGGAATCACAGTTTTTATTGTGAGTCCGGGTTTCCCATAATTCTGAATCATGGGAAATGTGGAATCACCACAAAAGCCATCCCGTGTTTGTGGTGATTCCAGGTTTCCCATATTTCGGAATCATGGGAAACCTGGAACCACAGCAAATAGTTCTACCCTCCCAGGGGTTCCCGGTCAGTCGTCCGGCCATGGGTTTCCCATAATTCGAAGCCATGGTAAGCCCATCGCCGCACGACTGCGCTCACGGGGAGGGGGGGGGCCGAACCTGGAGGGGCCCCTCCGCCCTGAGTTGCAGAGGGCGGGGGTTCGAACAAGAGGGAGGGGTCCCGTCCCCCCCTCTGTCCATGGGGGGGGGGTCGAACTGGGTGTGGCCCCCCCTCTGTCCAGGGACGGGGACGCACGGGGAGGAGGTCTCCATCCCTTGAGGGCCCCCCCTCCCCCTCTGTCCAAGGAGAGGGAGCGGGGTTCGAACCAGGGGGGGGGCCCCTCTGTCCATGGAAGGACGGGAAGGGGGGGTGGGGGTTCGAGCTGAATGGGTCCACCCCCGCCCTCGAGTTGCAGGGGGGGGGTCGAACCAGGGGAAGGCCCCCCCCCCCCCCATAATTGCTGGGGGAGGTTCGGACAGGGAGGGGCGCCCCCACCCCCTTGCAATCGACGACGACGAGCGCTGGCGCGACGACGACGACGACGACGACGACGACGACGACCCTCCTGGTTCGAGCGAGCCCACGCCCTCCTTGGGCAGGGGGGGGAATCCCTGATTTGAGCCCCCCCCCCACCTTGAACAGGGGTATGTGGCCAGGTTCGAACCCCACCCCCCTTACACTCAGGGGGGGGAGCCCTCCCGGTTCGAACCACCCCCACCCACACCCTGAGCAGGACGGCCCCCCCCCCCCAGGGTTCGACCGCCCCCAGTCAGGGAGGCTGGTGTCCAGGGGGGGAGGCTCCAACGTGCCTCAGTGTTTTTCCCGGCAAGCGCCCACGAAACGCGTTCTCTCTGACATAATGTATCACAGGTTTACCTGAAGCAGGATACCTCGCACAACCTCAAAACTACAGTCGGGTTTGCAGCATGCCTTCGTTGCTCAGGCTCGTTGGCAAGCCCCGCGCAACTAAGTGCAACCGCAAGTCAAGTAGTGAGACAAGCAACAACGTCTA